CAGCCAGCAGTTGAGCCTGCCTCTTGTCCCTGTATTTTTCTTTCACCTTAGCCCTGTCCTCCTTACTGTGTTCTCAGTTATAAAAAACTGAGGAGGCTAATTTGAGGACTTCCTGCAATGGGGCGATGCTGTATTATACAAGAATACCACATGCTTCTTTTTGAGAATCTCAGGGTTAAATTTATCCTAATGTTTTAGGATGTAACACAGAGGTGACTGTGAATAAAGAGATGGCATTTGACCCATGGTGGGACTGGAAAATGACAAGCCATGGGGATAATGTCTACTAGTGTGGGACACAAATCACACTTTCTCTCAAGGCGGACACCCCACTGAGGAAAGGGGTTCCACTCAAGTCCATTGGGGGACTTCTGAGATGCATTCCTAGAAGGGTGTCCTACCTATTAGGAAGGGTCTCCTGGGGTTGGGGTCAATAGCTCTAGGGCCTTACACTGTATGGTCAGTCCAGGCAAGAGGAATGAGGGTGAAAGGAAGACTCAGCTGGGAACCAGCCTAGGAAAAGGGACAGGAATGGGAAGACTACTGCTCTGAGGTCACTCGAGATCACGTGATTTGGGAACATCTGCAGCAGGAAGTGTGGCTGTCTTCATGGGAGAATTTAGCGTGAGAAAGAGGTGGTCTGAGTTCCCCAAAACATGTGCATGTTTGTCTTGGTTGAGCTTTCACCACCAATCATGCTACAAGTAAGGACTGCGGGCTTTTGACCAGAAAGGATAGGAGAGAGCATTTTTCCCTTCCTTTCTGGCAAGGCAGCCAACGCTGTTTATCCCTGGGCCTTCAGGCAACACCAGAGAGCAGCCCTGGCCAGTTACTGTCAGTTGACAAAGGGATATTAGAGGTTGGCTGCTAGAAGGCTGAAAAAGAGAAATTGAACTAAGGTCCTTTATCTGATGAGGTGATGGTGGTCAGATGCTTCCACATGGACACCTTCTAGCCTCATCAGGGTGTAGTGCTGGCCAGAGACTGTCAGTTCTTCCTTTTTTTGGGTGCTGTTCACAGAGTCCCCAGTTGGAAGAGAGAAAGGGGAAGCAGACAGAGGTCCCCAGATGAGCCACCAAAATGTTGCAGGTGAGACTAGCTGGGGCTGGTGTCATGGGCCATAAAGGAATTTACCAAGACAGTTGTAGATAAAGAAAGGCAGATTTATTGGAAAAGGTGTGAAAACACCTTGCAAGGTTCAATGGGCAGCCCAGCAGAGAAGGGCCTGTCTCCCAATAGGCAGGGACTGGAGGTAAGTTTTACAGGGTCATGCTGGAGGGGGCTACATGTGGAACAATGTCATTGTGCCCACCAGTTGTTTGTGATTATCCATCTCTCAGAAAAATTGGCCATTTTTCTCCCCAACCTGGGGCCCCTTCCTCATTATTGCTTATTAATTTTATCAGGACTTCATGAGACTATTTAAAATTTGTAGTGAAAACTACGTATACTTCCCCATCTAGTCTAATAGGTTGTGATATTTCAAAGTAACAGTAAATACCATGAATATTTTCTCAAATCTAGTGTTTATAGGAAATGTACCAGTCTCTGACCTGCCCCGATGTAAGTGTCAGATGTGCTTCCAGGAATGTGGCCCATCCCTGTGAGCCAGCCAAGGGTCCAGCCTTACCAACAGAACATCACTGTAACTCTGGGAATGAGTGCACACTCAACCCGAGCCAGGGCTGAGTTGCTCTACCTCAGGGTTGCCAGCCTTTGTCAAGCTTCCTATTTTCTGTTCCTCTGGTCTATACTCCTATGGCAGATGGTCAGGGTCACCTTTCATGAGAAGGGAAGATGTATTGGTAGCCAGCAGCCTGCATGGCATTTCTGGCACAAACACATTGCAGATTGCAAATCCCTGTTTCACATTTATGAAAATGGTATTGATGACCTTCAGGGCAGAGCAGTGTTTTCTTAAAGTAGCTTCTGTACAAAGGTAATAGACATTATTTGAAAATAGGATTCTGTGATCAAATCTCTTGAGCAGGTCAACTTCTCAGAGTCTGTAATATGCAAAAGTGCATCATTATACATGTCCAAGATTGGGGTATTTATAATATGTGATGTGAACCAAATACACTGGGTCACTGAACACTCTGACCCTCATAGGCCCCGGGGCTGCTGCTAGGTGGAACACACTTTAAGGAATGTTGTGTGGCACATGACTCTTGTTACAATATATTGTTCTGTGGCTCTGGCCATCATGGTTTGGGGTTAGAGAAAATATTAGCTTGTCTAAGCTAAGTGACTGAGAAGCAGCAATTTGCAATCATTATGGAAGCAGCAACTCATCATTCCTGTAAATTTCCAGATAAAGAAATCAATGGCTGGGTTGTTGCCACTACTCATTTCAGAGCTGAGTTTTTCTGGCTTTGTCTGAGGTCCAAGTTGTTTCTTTTATTTATGATTTCTTTTTTTAAGTACAAGCACAAACTTCAAAACCCTAAAAGATTTTAGGGACTGTATAAAGTGCCTTAATGTCTTTCCAGGTAAAATATCGTTAGCATTCATTATTACATGAATTCATCCACCTGCTATTTAGTACCCACTATGTACTGACGCCTACAGAACATATAAAGTTGAATAAAGCAAAATCCCTACTCTTTATTACATTCTGTGCCAGCTCTGTCTGATGTCTTCAGCCATTTATGGTGTAGAAAATGTTACAGTAACACATTTATAGATAAAGGGACCCATCTGGAGATGAATGAAGTAAGTGGCTGCCACAGATTTGGTGCTGTGAGGTGAAAAACCGTTCCAAGGCAGCAGGATAAGGAAGGAAGATGATTACTTCCTTTCCATTTAGTTTCAAAAGATCTGAAATAAGAGCATAGGACCCATCTCAAGATGAGTTGTTCAATAGATGTGAGGATCCAGGTTTGGAAATGTGAGCATCTCGGACAAAAAGAGGCAACTTCCACCCACAGCTCAGAGCCAGTGAGGCTGGCTGATCTAAAACTCTTTGTTCACTGTTGAAGACAGCATCTCTTAGATTTCCTAAATCCCACCGTTGGGAACTGCCAAGCCAGTGTTTCATTACAATCTTGGCCCTAAAACAACACAGTTCATCCAAGAACGACAGGGTTTTATGAACAGAAATTAGGCCTTGGACCAAGTTTGTAATAAATCCTAAGCTTCATTACATAGGTGAGGATAAACGACCAACTACTGGATGACAGATTTGCTATGGACCAAGAGAATAGACTCTGTGTGCCATTTCAGAAAGGTTCCACTGCAGATTTTCACTGACTCGTGGGGTGACTTTCTTCAGGGGCAGTGATGTGGAAGGAGTACAACGGAATAAAGGAATAAAAAGAGGAACAGTTTGGGGTGGATGTTCCCTTTATCCACTGCTCCATCAAAATCACTTGAACCTCCAATGAATGGTAGCATTATATGATGCTTAATAAATCTTAAAGGAGAAACCCAAATAATTTTTTTCTATTCAAGTTTAATGAAGATCTATGTGAAACATAGTTTTTTTTTTCTTACCCAAAATGAACAAAAGGCCTATTAATAATGTTCGGATGTGACCTCACTGAGATTAAAAATATTTGCTGATATATAAAATGGTAGGTAAGCCATTCAGGACTAATGTGAACAACAAGAAATATAAGAGAGAAGAGGAAATGAAAATGCAGTGGAAACAACAGATTTGGATTAACACCAGTGTTTGCAAAAGAGCTCAAATGATTTCAGATTCAATAGAAGCCACTTTGCCAAGGACTCCAATGCATTCCATCTATGAGCAGGCTTGCTGCTGTTTCCTAAGGAACACCCCTGGGATCTGCCCTTTCCCCTGGGTTCTTATGCCAAAGCCAGCCCTGTTTTCACCTCCTCATACTGTAGCCATCATTGTGTGGCCACAAAAGCTGCCAGGCTGCTCTGTGGCTGCCTCTGAGTGATAATCTATGCTCGTGCACACATTTTTGTTTCCATCTGTAATGGTGGACATTACAGATCATTTATGAGATGACACTTGCCGACCCTAAACACGGAAACTCAGACTTGCCCTGGGTTGTCTGGTGACCTGCCGAGACCCACAGGCCTACAGATGTCTGATTTCTGTGAAAGGCCTGGAATCTTTTGCTCCTACTGAGAGGGAGAGGTGGTGCCTAGAGTTGGGGAGTTCCAGGTCACAGGAGGAAATATTGGGGGCTGTGCCCTTCTCCAGTTCCATGGACAGTTTCTGAATTCTTCTAAGAAAGAAGGGTTAACAACAGAAGCTGGAGAAGTTGCTTTTATAAAATGACTCTTGAAACTATGGTATGACTATAGGATGGAAGGTGAAGGTGAGGTGCCTAGAGAATGCTGCTTGGTCCTCCCCTCCCTGTCCCCAGGTGACAGTGTGTTGCAGACCTGAGGAGGGGCCGCTTTCCCTACTACTACGGAAAACTCAGCCTCTGCCTGGTCACATGCGGCATGGCAGCTTTGAGAACAGGAGCCTGTGAAGAAGCAACTACAGGTTGACCAGGAACCTGGTATAGATTAATGAGTGGGCCATTATATACTCTATCTGGGTGTATATGAGGGAGAATGCACTCAAAATGTTGAAAAGAATGAGCCAGTTGGGAATTTGAGACAAAGACTGCTAGGATCCACCAATATCTGGGTGCTCTGCTCCTTCTGTGGGCATAACTAGACAACATTTCCCCAACCCCTTGCATCTAGATGGGACCATGCAATTATTCCTGGCCAGTGAAATGTGGCTGGAAGTGTTAGACACCCCTTCCAGGCCTGGCTTCTTAAATCTTCTGTGAGATCATACATATTCTCTCTTTATTCATGTGCTGGCTAGATGCAGAGGATCTAGGAGAGACCTCTGAAGCCCTAGAGGATAGCTGAGCCACAAGATGGGAGGAACCTGGGTCCCTGAGTGACTGCATGGAGCAGTCTCTCATACCACACTACATCCCCATCTTTACTGGACTGTGATATAGAGCAAAAATTAAAACTCAGTTACGTGAAACCACTGAGATTTGGAGCTTGCTTGTTACAGTTGAAGGAAACCAAAAGATTTCTCCTCAAAAGATTGAGGATTGCTAAGTTAAGGACACTGAAAACGCAGGGGAGCACTCTGCCTCAGCCTCTATTTGCCTGACAGCAGGATGTAAATCCATCCTTACTAGAGACAGCACTTGCGTATTGGCCCGGAGAAAGTACCAGCAGGCACCAGAGGAATCTGGAAACAGATTCTACTATTTCTCCACTTTCTCCCGCCTTTTCAAAGATGGCAGCATCTCTCTCCTTTGTCTTGTCACTATGTAGGATTGATGGCTCTTTGTTAAAACATTATTTAAGCAAAGCCTCTAAGCCACTGCCTCCAGAGAGAAATACTTTTGAGGCCTCTCCCACATGACACGTATAGCACATGCTAATAAACTTCTGCTTGTTTTTCTTTTATTAATGTGACTTTTGTTTTTAGGAGAGTATCTCAACTAAGTACATAAAAATGCAAAGAAGATAAATTATGTTTTCTCCCTTCCACAGTCATTACCATACTAATACAGAACAGAAGCTGAAAAGCCATGATGTAGAGAGAGAGGCCAAGATTATCTATTTCCTTCTCAAAAGCTTTTCCCTGAACTTTCCAGAAGTACAAATAAGAGTAAAGACATACCCCTGGGCACTGGGGCTCATGACCTAACTGGCTTGTTTTCAGTTTAAATTTCTTCTTAATCCCCTGAATGGAAATGTTTGTCTTCCTCTCTGTAATATATTCATGTTTACTTTAATATAAAAATACTATTTATAAAGATTTAGCCCTCAAGTTAAATGGACTTTTTAACCTGTGCCTTGGCATCTCCAAGTAATAGCCACATTGAAATTTGGCTCCAAAGATTACTTCCCTCCCTCTTCCCTCATCATTTGGTAAAAAGAAAAGCAACTTCATGAAACCACCTATGTAGGGACACTAGATTTCAGATGCTGCTTTAGTTCTTTAAAAATAAAAATAAAAACAACTTTGATCCATTTTTTGTTAATACTGATGTTATAATATTAAAATGTTTAATAACTTGGTTTGACAAAAAAGAGCATTTTTTTTAAATGCTCAAGAGATTTGTTAAGGAATACAAAATTACAAGGCTGGGCATGGTGGCTCATTCCTGTAATCCCAGCACTTTGGGAGGCTGAGGCGGGCAGATCACCTGAGGTCATGAGTTTGAGACCAGCCTGGCCAACATGGTGAAAACCCATCTCTACTAAAAATGCAAAAATTAATTTGGTGTGATGGCAGGCGCCTGTAATCCCAGCTACTTGGGAGGCTGAGGCAGGAGAATTGCTCAAACCCAGGAGGCGGAGGCTGCAGTGAGCCATGACGGCACAGTTGCACTGCAGCCTGGGCAACAAGAGCGAAACTCCATCCCCCACAAAAAAAAGGAATACAAAATTACAGCTAGATAGGAGGAATGAGTGCTAGTGTTCCATAGCACTATGTAGGATGGCAAAGTTAACAATAATATGTTACATAATTTTAAATGGCTAGAAAGAGGATGGTGAATGCTCCCAACGCAAAGAGAAATGTTTGAGATGATGGATATGCTAATTACTTTGATCACTATACCTTTATGTATTGAAACATCACTATGCACCTTATAAATATGTAAAATAATTATATATCAATGAAAAACTAACATAAAATATATTAAGTCTAGACTTTTTATTGAAGCTATGCCCTTCTTTGGGGTGGCGCAGCCAAGGTGTGAGATGGCAAATGACTTTTTCCTGCCTTGTATTTACATCTTAGTAGTTTTCCTCATGTTTTAACTTGGGTCAGACTGCCTGGGCGGGTGAGAGTTCAGGCCAGACTCACAGCCTGGACCCTGGAGAGTCCCCTAAGCCAACACTTGACCTTCAAACAGGAATCCATCAAGACTACCTTAGATCAGGGAGAAGACACCTGAGCCAGCTTCTGGCCAAACTGGAAACTCCCAGTTCCCTTCATGCTTTCCTTTCTTTTCTTGTCTTTTCTTTTTGAGATGGGATTTCACTCTGTTGCCCAGGCTGGAGTGCAGTGGCACAATCTCGTCTTACTGCAAACTTTGCCTCCCAGGTTCAAGCAATTCTCATGCCTCAGCCTCCCTAGTAACTGGAATTACAGGTACTCGCCGCTACACCTGGTTAATTTTTGTATTTTTAGTAGAGACAGGGTTTCACCATGTTGGCCACGCTGGTCTCAGACTCCTGACCTCAAGAGATCTGCCCACCTCAGCCTCTCAAAGTTCTGGGATTACAGGTGTAAGCCACCATGCGTCGCCCGTATATATTTTCACAGTGTTCTTCTTTGCAACTCTTTAATGATTTAGCTGGATGAATCACTGAGAAATTCACTGTCCTCAGCAGCACAAGCTTGCTATGCTGCTGCCATCAGCCAAGGGGTTAGTGTGACGAAAGAGTGGCTCTCAGACCCACTTCCCCACGTCTTGTCTAAATTTTATCATACAGTCTTTACCACAGACTTAACAACAATTACCTTAACATAATAACTTGAGAAAAGTTGTTGGAACCAAAAATAACTGAAAGCAGTGACCCGAAGATATATTTGTATACTGATATTCATAGCTGCATTATTTGAAACAGTCAAAAGGTGGAAGAAACCCAAGTGTCCATCAATGAACGAATGAATGAACAAAATAAGGCATATTTATATGATGGGATATTATTATTCAGCCTTAAAAGGAAAGGAAACTCTGACACATGCTACAAGATGAACCTTGAGGACATTATATTAAGTAAAATAATTCAGTCTCAAAAAGACAAATGTTTTTTTATTTCACTTACATGAGGTACCTAGAGAAGTTAAACTCACAGAAGAGGAAAACAGAATGATAGCTTCAGGTGCTGGGGCAGGGAAGAATGCCAGTTACTGCCTAATGGGGACTGAGTTTCCATGTGGGAAGATGAAAAACGTTCTTGAGATCGATGATGGTGATGGTGTGCAACAGTGTGAATATATTTAAGGCCAGTGGACTGTACACTCAAAAGTGGTTAAAATGGTTAATTTTGGCAGGGCGCAGTGGCTCACGCCTGTAATCCTAGCACTTTTGGAGGCCAAGGCGGGCAGATCACCAGAGGTCTAGAGTTGGAGACCAGCCTGACCCACATGGTGAAAACCTGTCTCTACTAAAAATACAAAAAAAAATTAGCCAGATGTGATGGTGAGTGCCTGTAATCCCAGCTACTCAGGAGGCTGAGGCAGGAGAATCGCTTGAACCAGTCAGGCAGAGGTTGCAGTGGACCAAGATCGCGCCACTGCACTCCAGCCTAGGTAACAGAGCAAGACTCTCTCTCAAAAACAAACAAACAAACAAAAAAGGTTGTTTATATTTTATGTATTTTATCACAATTTAAATAAGTCGTTGAAGAGGCGCAACATTGAAAGAATGTGTTGGGGTGGAGGCGAAGATTCCCTTGTCCCCTTCTCACCCCCAGATACAACTCTGCAGTTGGAATAATGTATTTAGTTTTATATTTTGTTTGCATACAAGCACATATTTCATAATTTATTTTGCTGCATTGGGCTTCTGAGCAAAGGATTAAAATGGTAATTTCCCATTTTTTCTTCACAGAAAAGAGCCAAGCTTTTGCATCCTTAATTTCTGTGCTCCCTTCCCCCATGGGGAACGATCAGCTTTTGTGTGACTTACAGGTTGCCGAAAAGACCACCATCTTCTCGGGTCTTTATCTGGTTGTTCAGGGCCCCTCTAGGGAGCGTCAGGAGTTGCACAAAATGGAGAGGGGAGGTGCATCCTAGGAACTTGAGATAGGGCCTTTAAGGAGCTTGGGGTCTGGGAGAGGTTGCAGCTATGCTAGGAAGGGTTTAGGGGTTGGTGGATTTTGTGGAGCCCCAGTGAGGTATTATGTTAATACCTGGGAGAAGTGGGGAGACACTGATTGTAGCAAAGGTTTTCAAGGCAGGGTCTATGGTCAGCAGGGAGATGCCCCATCCATGCACACTATAGCCGGTGGCAAGGAGAAGTGCCCTCCTAGGGTATCCAGCCAATACTGGCAGTGGCAGCAGCATGACAAAAGGCGCACCCAGGACAACCACCATGGATTAAGGAACAGGCTGCATCTTTATTTTTCAGGACCAGCTAAGCTTCCTGCCCTTGTACCAGTCCCTGGAGGGAGCAGAGGGAGCCTGGGCTTAGGGGGTAGGGGAGGAATAAGCACTCAGAGCTGGGCATGAATCAGCTGGGAAGAAACAAAGAAGCGTGTCACTGCCCACACCTTTAATAAATGGCTTGGAACACTCCCGGCTCTCACAGTTGGGCATGTTTTACTCTGCATCCCATCTATGGCTTCTATTGTCTTCTCACACTGTGGGACACTGAAGGAGATGGGACAGATGGCTGTGTGTGCTCCTTCCCTACAGGCAATGTGGCAGTGTGGCAGTGTACATTTTTATAAGTTCCTTTTTCTTTCATCAAAAAAGATTTTTCTTTATAGCAAAAGCAATATATTGCTATGCTTTTGTAGAAAAGTATGAGAAGAAAATTAAAGTCTCTCATAATGCTACAATGATTCAGATAATCACTGTTACTATTTTTGTGTATTTCCTTCTCAGAGTTCCTCCTGCATTGTTTAATCTGTCCTAAGCCACAGATCCTCTTCAGGTCCCGCTGCCCCAAGTGAGCTGATGGACTTGTAGTCAACCTTCCACATTCCCCAGGCACTGGTTCCCATGGTGGCATACTAGATTAGGAAGGTGGCGTGTGACATAGAACAGAGAAAAAGCTTATCTGCCTATGAGGGTCATCAATTTACCACTGTCTCAGCCGATTCTTCACCATCCACACCTAATCTCAATACATGCAGTTTAGTTGATATTGAGCTGGTTTCAAACATTTATCGGAACTTACACTATATTTATTTTTAAAAACAAGATTGTAAGGGTGGTTAGGTTCTCAGGCCAACTCACAAAAACTGAGGTGACCAACAAGGTAACTTAGAAATCGTCAATAACAGTTCTGAACACAGATTCCTTCTACGCCCTTCTAGATTCTGGTCTCTCTGAGACTCAAATGTCATGTCTGGAATCCTTCCCCCTTGTCTGGGGCCCCTCTAAGTCTTCATGGTG